GGAAGCAGTGTGGTAGAATGTTCCAGGAAGCCTGAGAGACCAAGGAAGCATTGTGGGACAGGCCCAGGCCTCATCCTGCCCCCTCAGTCACTTGCCCTGTGAAGCTCCTAGGCCCCTGCCAGGCGGAAGGCCAGACAGCTCTGCCTCTCCCACTTTCCCATGCCCAGCACGTCCCCCTAGTCCAAAGCAGCTAATTCAGAAGTAGAAACGCACAGCCACCACACTGTTACATCCCCTCAAAATGAGAAGTTCTCTGCGCCCAAATCTGTGTGGGAAGACCTATTACTATGAAGGCGCCGTCACGCCCTCCTCGTGTGCCTTCAAGCACTTGCCTGTCCATTTGGTGATGCGCCCTCCCTGCTCTTCTGGCGCTGTCCTGACGGTGCATTGGGGAGCAGGATGTCTGATCGCGCAGGGCTCTGGCTGCAGACATAAACCTTCCGCTCTGCGGATCCTGAGATCCTCTATCCCTTTTCTTTACCCTCCTTGGAGTTTTCTGTAATCTTCAAAGCTGTGCTCTGACTCTAGTCTTTGGGTGTGGCCTGTGGTGGGCTGTGTTCCTGGCATCAGCAAAGGCACTGACATGGTACGGACTTCAGAGGGCAGCTTGGATGAAATCCCAGAGGCCTGTAGCTGCTGAAAAAGTGGTTATCCCAGCTGTCAAAAGGGCCGTTCGGTCCCACTTAGTTTCTGTTCCAATGTGGAAACAAACTTGCTCCTTAAAACCCTTCAGATCACATGGGTGGGGATGATTGACGCTATGTCAAAGCCAAAGCCTTAGGCTAATTTGGGAACTGATTGGACTCTGCTAATTCCTTGTATAAATATGGAACCTGCTCCTTAGCATTCCAGGTCAGGGTCTTGGGTGGGACACCTGAACCCTCCATTTACTTCTAAAATTTCTGGAACCGAACTGCTTTTTTCTCTCATTTCAAGGCCCTAGGAGAGAGAACAAATAGCAAAGACATGTCTGGATGCAATTTGGGTGGAGGAGGAGGTGTCTTGTGGCCTGGCCAGCCCCTTTCTCTCTGTTCAGCCTAGGCAATGGATCATTGCTGCCCAGTGAAGGCTCTTCTATATAATTGCCCCCCAGAAATCTAACTTCTAGAAAAACAATGGCTTGTAAAGCATACCAAACTCTCTAAACAGATAGATGAACAGAATCTGAAATGAAATATTTCAAGGGACTGTAATACTGCTGCCGGGCAGCTGCATCTGGGGAGGTCTCTCCCTGAGCACAAGGTGAAACCTCAACCTGGACAGAGGAGGGTTCTTGACTGAACGAGAAAGAATTCTGTAGCAAGTTGGACAAATGTAGTTAAGGAAGGAATTCATTAAAGCGAGAGTAGCAGGGGATGACAGCTGCCTTGCAAGCAGCAGAGAGCAAGGAAGAGTAGAGAAAGGAAAGGGAAGCTCATTGAACTGTTCAGCATAAGGCAAATCCCTTGCCAACTCCTAAAGCCAGGGTCACCTGGCATCCAGAGTCCACTTGGATCTGGACAGTGTGGGAACTAAGTCCCTACCACCCCAGGATTTGGGGGAGCTGCACAGCACTGGATGGAGTGAAATTATGTTCTGAGAACTTCCCAAAGGCAAAGAAAGGAGATTTCCAGGCCGGCTCTAAAGAGCGTGATCTTACAGCTGCAGCCCTGTCTGGGTCATACAGGCGATGGGAACTTGCAGACCCAAATCAGAGCTCTCAGTAGCCCCTCCCTACTTATCTGGAGTAGAACAGAGACAGAGTGAAGACTTATGCTTACGTCTGGAAAATAGAATGAAATAGCAAAGTGACAAAGACACTTACTGGAAGAGTGCAGAGACAAAATGCAGTAAGTTGAGCAGTGAGAAGGCTTTATTTAAAAAATACCTCTCCAATAAAGGGGAGTGCAGGCAACCTCAGAGAGAAGGTGCACGTAAGAACTTAGGATTCTGTTTTCTAAAGCTTTCAAGAGTGGGGCAAAGGGCAGGGGTAGGGGTTGTTGGGCGTAGGCTTGACTTGTGGTCTCATGATGTCTTTCTCTGGTGAGAAATGTTATGTCACTATCCATAGTCAGTCCTCTAGATAATTCTGTAAGATAAACTTACACAGGAATTTATTGATCCAGTTCCTCTTCAAGATAATGGTTTCCCTCAAGCACTGGGAACAGAGCAGTTAAGAGTGCTTGCCCCTGCCTTAAGATAGGGTGGGTTTTTGTCTGATTACCAGAGAATATGTTAGGAATCTTACCTCCTAACTCCCTGGTTTTTGAAAAGGAATCTTAGCCTTAAGACGGAGTCCCTCCTGTTCTTATTATACTGTTTGTATCTCAGAATTTTTCATTATAGGCAGGAAAAGTGAATCATGATGCTTGTTCCCTGGCCCTGCCCTACTTTAGTACCAAGAGAGCAGAATGCTTGCCCATGGCCCTGGTGATGAGTGAGAAGGAATTAAGGCCACTGTGGTGTGTACATGACCAGAGATCACATCAGGCTTTACCGTGACTGGCAACATGGCTGAAGTTGTTTACTCCCTATAGCTCCTGCCTCTTTACTTCTCAGTTGGAATTGAGGTCCGCTATGGGCTTCTTGTCCAGCCCTGCCACCACCTGCAATGCACTCCCATTAAATGACCAACCAGCAGGAGACCCAGAGCAGCCTCCACGGGGCCCTGACAAAGTCATGCTTACATACTTGCTGCTACAGCCCACAAAGGGCCAGAAAGCCTATTTGAACGTTTACATGAGAAATTATAACTCTGGGGAGAGGAAATCCTGGGGCAAATACCTCTAAAACTGAAAGCAGTCAAAGGGAGAAATAAAGTTTAAAACCCACTTATTGCTTACAAACGGCAGTTTGGGGCTGTCTCTTCCCTGCTCAGGCAGAAGCCAGCAAGACCTCCCCCTAACCTCTCAGGTTCAGATAAGCCCTTGGTTGCCCAGGTAATTACCCACTGATATGGACATGAACCATTCTCCATCCCTGAGGAACACCTATTGATATGCAGATGCACTAAAGCCAGGTGAGATATTCTGGAAATGTTACAATTTTCCCCACAGAAATAAACTTCCATTTTGTTCAAGCTCTTGTTTTGTCTGTGTCTATATCAAAAGTTCTGGTACCATGTGTTTGAAAATTGCTAAGTGAGTAGATCTTAAAATAATTTTTTTCCTTACACAAGGGGAAAAAATGTGTAACTATGTGAGGTGATGAATGATAACTTACTGGTGGTAACCATTGTGCAATATATGTATCAAATTATTATGTTATACACCTTAAATGTATACAGTGTTAAATGTCGGTTATATCTCGAGGCAACAGCAGGGCTGGGGCAGAACTGGGGGTAGGAGGTGTTCTGGTAAATCTGGAAAGCAGAAGAGTTACACACACAGTGCTGGCAGTTCAGCAGCTATCCTGGGAACTAGAAAGGAAGGCCCCGGGCTTCCTTTCTCCACGTATCTCTTTTGCGTGGAGCTCTTCCCTGCTTCTCTAGGCCTGTTTGCTTAGTGGCCTTCCCCATGGTTTAGCTTTCTCTGCTCTCCCAAAACTTCACCTTGGAAATACATTTAACGGGCCCCATCTGACCTTCAATCCTTGTGGCCTTGTGGGTCCACAAAAAAACTAACTGGCTACAGACTTCTGACTCTTGGCCCAAATTTTCAGCAGAGAGAAGTGGTCTCCAGCAATCAGTGGATTCCTTGTTTTTGAGTTAGGTGCTAGTTCAGTCACCTCAGGAGTGGTACGGCAACATGCCCACTGCACACCATTAGAGGAAGCGGTTTCTCTGGGAGCTGATGTGACATGTCTCCCTGAGGAGAGAGAGGACAGGCAACTCTAGGGAAGACAGCTTTATGGTGCCACACAGATCTCATTGGTTCCTTGGCTTCTTTCTTTCCCATGGTAACCCAAATCTCTTCCTGTGTGAACATCTCCTTTGAAAGGGATACTATGGCCAGGCGGGCTGGGTGGGCTAATCTAGGGGCTGGTAGATGACTCGGATGGGGAAGTGCTGGTGAGGTGAGGCTGCAGGGAACTGAAGCTTATTGCTCAAGATCAAAGCCAGAGAAATAAAGTTTCGCAGCCAAGTCCAAAAGTCAGGGGTAGAGTGGAAAATCAGACATAGAGCCTAGGTCAGGAGCCAGCAGAACTGGAAAAATGGAAATAGGCCAAGATATAAGACCAGGCCAAGCATGAGCTGGCAGCAGGCCTAGCTTCACTGGCTCTCAACCTAGGCTCACACCCAGAAGGGCCACAACAAGGAACACAAGGGCCTGCCTGGGTTTAAGCAGTATCACCAAGACAGAGGAGAAACCAGGGTTTCTTAAGCCAGGTCCATAACCTCCCTATCTCATACACGATTGTGTTCATTTGTGCATTTTTCTGCGATTTTTATCGGGAAGAGCGCCCCCTAAAAGCTTAAGGTTTGAATGGGCATCCCTCCAGGACGATCACTGCGGGCTCTCCTCGGTTTTGGCGTAGGCCCGGAGCGGCTGAAGGTCTCAGCTACCCTCCAAAAGGGAAGACCCCTGCCACGCCTGCCCCAGGGGCTCGCTGCAGCGCTGCCAGTCGGAGCCAGGTCCTCGGGGGAGCGTGGAGACCTGGGTCTGAAAGAGGATGACCTTAGGAAACGGTGGAGGACGGACACACGGGCGGAGGGACGGAGTAAACGAAGAGTGCGATTCGTTCCCGCCCGAGAAACTGCAGACACAGCTCAAACTGGGACTACTCGCTTAAAGATTAACATGAGGTTTACCCGCTTCTTCATAATCCATCCGTTTCGTCTTGCTGGGAAAACAAAAGTATCCTCGCCCCTCTCTTGTGCGTACAGCTGAGTTCCGGGAAGGGGTGCAGCGCCCAAACCCGCACTATCGCCTTTGCACAACCCTCAGGACCCCGGAACCGCATTCCCAAGGGCGAGGATTCCGACCCGGGAGGCTGGCTGCCCTCTGTCCCGCCTCAAGTCCATCGCCCCGCCCCTCGAGGGAGGGGCTCCCGCGGCCCGCCGGCGTGACGTGGCACGTATGTAGACGTCGGCGCGCGCCGAGCCCGGAAGAGGCGCGGGCCAGGAAAGTAGCTGCACGTCGGTTCTTCCGCGCCTCGATCCCCATGGAGCTCTGGCGCGGCTCTGCGTACGCGGGCTTCCTGGCGCTGGCGGTGGGCTGCGTCTTCTTGCTGGAGCCGCAGCTGCCAGGCTCGGCGCTGCGCTCGCTGTGGAGCTCGCTGCAGCGGGGGCCCTCGCCCGCACCACCGGGGCCCGGCTCCCCTGAGGGCCGGTTGGCGGCCGCCTGGGAGGCGCTCATCGTGCGACCCGCCCGGCGCTGGCGCCGCGTGGCCGTGGGGTGAGTGCCGGCGGAACTTGCGTCTCTGGGCTTCTGCTGGAGGTGCGGACACTCCGGGCCTCCGAGGGCATAGTTGGCAGAGTTCGGGCAGCTTGGGAGCTGGGAGGTAGAGCCCGCGCGGAAACGGAGGCTCCCGGGAGGCCCCTGGGCGCTGGTGTTCACGCTGCCTCCTTGGCGAGAAGCGCCGGACGGCTGGGACGAGCCCTGGTTTGTCGCAGCCGCAGGGACTTACCGAACGGCTGCTGCTGCTGCTGCTGCTGCTGCTGCTGGGCGGGCCCCTGCGCCCTTCTCCAGTCTCTGTAGGACCAGCGTGAACGCCTCTCGTAAATCCCGCTCAGCCTGACACCTTCCTGTTCGAACCGTCTTCATTCCAGTTTCAGCAACTACTGCTCCTCTGGCGACTGCTCCTTTGCAGACAGAGATGCGTGGTCTTACCCACTTTGAAGACACTGTTCTGTCTCTTCTAACGAGTAGAGTGGTCGCTGCCTTTAGCTACCGACTTTATGCGTGTCTACCCTTCCCTAACGCCATAGTCTAGAGACCGCCCTACTGAAACTCCTCTCAAAGCCCCCTGGTGCCTTGACTTTAAAATTCTCCCTCTTTTTAGTCTTCATTATCAACTCCTCAGCCTTCCACGCGGTAAACGTCACTTTTTTCTTGAAAGCCTTTTGACTTTAGGGACATTGCAAATTTAGAGTTCTCCCAAATTGGCATCCCTCCTTTCTTTGCATTTCTTTCCGGGATTGTAATTATTCCCATTACACCAACTTTTAGTCCCTGACTCCGTTCGACTTGAATATCCTGCAATCATTTCAAAAGCAGGCTTCCGCCAAGTACTCTGCTTATTTCTGTATTAGAGTCAGGAAGGGTAAAGTAGAGCAAAGTTATGCTGAGGATTAAATGAAATAATCCATGGTACTCTAGCATGATGTCTTCTTTAAAGAGCACTCAGCTGTCGACATATTTGTTTCTTCATATAAATCTCCTTTATCTCTTTTTTCAATTCAGGCCCTTTCACCCACTTCCTTACCAGCTTCTTAATTGTCCTGTCTGGCTTTATGCACATTCATTTAACAAATATTCATCAACTACATGGAATGTATCTAGTCTGTGCTAGATTCTGAGGATACAGAGATAAATGAAGCAAGGTCCCTGTCTCATTCTTTTGAAGCAAGTGTATTCATTATTGGATTAGTCTGCACTGGCTACCATAACAATACCACAGACACAGACTGGGTGGCACAACAGGAATTAATTTTCTCACAGTTCTAGAGGCTGATGGTTCAAGATCAGGGTACTGGCAAGATTGGTTTCTGGTGAGTCCTCTTTTCCGGACATGCAGGTGGTCTCTTGCTGCGCACTCATATGTCTTTTCCTCTGCACGTGCTCTTCCGGTGTCTCTGCCTCATATATGGAACTAGTCCTTTAGATTATGGCCTCGATTTACCTGAATGACCTCCTTAAATGGTCCCTGTCTCCAAATATAGGCACAGTTACAGTTAGGGGTTGAGCATATAAATGAGAAGGGGAACACAAAGCTGCCCATAATAATTATGAAAAGTGCTTTGAACTTGTAGTAAAAAAAACAAGATAGCTTTGTGTCCCACAGGATTACTAATTCTTCCACAATCAGGTTCCAGACAAAGGTCCATTTGAGAAGGTGATGTTCTGTTTACATTGTTACATGACAAATCACTTCAAAACTTAATAATTTAAAGCTTGGTCGTTTTATTTTGTGTCATGAGTCTGAGGTAAGATTGGGCTCAGCTCGGCAGTGGTCACTTGCAGTTTCCTGCAGTTTCAGTCAGATGGTGGCTGGGACTGGAGTCATCTTAAAGCTTAACTGTGATTGGCAGCTACAACCCCCTCTGGCGTTTTCACTTGAACACCTACAGGTGTTCTGTACAGCTATTTCCCTTTCTCAAAGCAGGGCAACTGGGTTAGGAGCCACAATGTCCCAAGGGGACCAGGCACAAACCTTAAAGCCTTTTATGACCTAACCTTAGAAGTACATAGCATCACTTCTACCATAGTCATTGGGCCAAGTGGTTTTAAGTGGGGAGAACATAAAACACACCTGATGGAAGAAATGTCAACATCATATTCTGAAAAGAACATGTGGGATGGGGCCTGTTTTGGCCATCTTGGAAAATATATTCTGCTATAGTGACTTTTATGGGATAGGCCCTGGAGAAGAAAAGGAATTTCTCCATAGGAAGGTGAGAACCTTCGTAGGAAACAGAACCAAAAATGAAAAAGTAGTAGTTTGGAAACAGCATGTTGGCCCTGTGTTTAGTGCAAGGATCTTCTGGTAGAGAGATGTCAAGAGATGATGCTGAGAAGGGCCTTTTGTATCAGGTAACTGATGGAAAGCCATAAAGGTATATAAGGAAGTAAATGATACTAGGTTCTTTGCTGAGAATAATTTGTGGCAGTGTGAAGGGTAGATTTTTTTTTTTACATGAAGAACATATTTACTAGGCTCCCCCCTTCACCAAGTCACCCCCACAAACCCCATTACAGTCACTGTCCATCAGCATAGTAAGATGCTGTAGAATCACTACTTGTCTTCTCTGTGTTGCAGAGCCCTCCCCGTGCCCCCCCACCATTATACATGCTAATGTTAATGCCCCCTTTCTTTTCCCCCCACCCTTATCCCTCCCTTCCCACCCATCCTCCCCAGTCCCTTACCTTTTGGTAACTGTTAGTCCATTCTTGGGTTCTGTGATTCTGCTGCTGTTTTGTTCCTTCAGTTTTTCTTTGTTCTTATACTCCACATATGAGTGAAATCGTTTGGTACTTGTCTTTCTCTGCGTGGCTTATGTGAAGGGTAGATTTTGAGAACCTGCTCTAAACCTGTTTGACAGTCACCTCATTTGTATGGGTAGCAGACATTCATTGGTAACATTTCTCATTGCTTGCCCAAAAGGATTTTTACCTAAAGATGAGGATGTAGGAAAAGGGGAGAAGATTCAGTACTTGTACCAGAATTGGTATCTTTCACAGGCCATTCTTTATGACCAGTTTTATTTTGATAGCTTTTAAGATTTTAGAGTTTTGTGTGTTTTTTTTAAGTTTCCCATTTGAACGTTAGAAATGGTGATGGGCATTACCCAGCTGAGTTTCCAAAGGAGACAGCAAGCTGCTAAAAAGTTCAGCTTGATCATTTTTTGTTTTGGGCTGCAAAATAGTTTAAGTTCTAAGCAGAACTAGATATAAAGGCTATGTGTTCTGTTGGAGTTGCTGTTTCAAATACGGGTATCCCCCAGACTCAGGAGCCAAATCCATTGGGATACCTATTCTAGACAGGGCTGTTCGGTGGGAATCATATCCCTCACTATCCAAAGTCTGAAACTCAGAACATGCTGGAGTCTGAATGCCAAGGATGCCTGTATTCCTAGCAGCCACCCTTCAGACATCTGATACTGCTTTCAGTAGAAATAAAGGACACTTTGTAGGAGGTGGAGTGGAGATTAGTTTACGAGGCATGTTTGGTTTATTATCATGTAAGCCTGTGAGAGGAATGTGTTTTAAACATTGTTAAGCGCCTGTCACAGCATGTCAATGTGTTTTATGCCTTGAAAGGTATAGTAACTCTTTATGCCTTTCCAGTTGTCCAGAGTAATTATATGTGAAAATTTGAGTATTTAAATGCTGTTTCATAAACAAAAATCTTCTCTAAAACATGGGTTTCATAGAGGAAAAAATTAAAAATCCTTATGGAGAGGATGCAGTCCATTTGTATCACGAAGAGGGATATGTCTCCCCTTGTTCTTGTAAACCTTCCCTGAGCGATGTAAATACCTAGCCTACACATAAACCTTCTGAAAATTGGTAATTTTTAAATTACAAAAGTAATGCATACTGTTAAAAATTAGAAATATCTAATGAAAAATAAAATTCCTCTCCCTTACCCCAATCTCATTCCTCTTTCTAAAGCTTGCTACCCTTGATGATTTGGTGTATTAATTTCCCAATTGAGATTTTTAAAGGAGACTAGAAGGAAACATTGTAGCTATATTGTACACTAAAACCCAGTCCACTGGGCCTTCTTTGTTGATGATTTTACCTTCTGGTATCATAGCTGCTCAGAATTAACCCAGAAGCCAGCCACCCTTATCACCCAGAGCTGTTTCGGTTGGCCTGCTATGAGCCTTGCTCTTCCCAGAGGCTGGGAGCTGATGATACGGGCATCTATCCCCACTGGCAAGAATGACATCCCCAAAAGACAGAGGCAGGAATAAAGGTGCCCATTGGGAAGGTAGGAAGACCTTACTTGGTCCTTCTCTTTTAAGGGATGATTTTTAGCAAAGAAACATTGACTATATAAACATTGATTATATTTTCCATGCATACACAGGAGAGGCTATGCCAGACAACCTTAGTACTTTATAATTTCTGAAGAGCCAGCCAGGTGATGCAGCCCTGACTACTTGCCAGCCTTGTCCAGTTCATGGATGGGCCCAGTGAACACCTGCCAAGTGATGAGTTGTTACGAGACCACAGGTGTGCTTAAGTCTTTTAAGGCACCACTCAACTCTGCAAGTGTCAACTGGCAGCATTTAGACATTTCGGGGTTTGGTGTATTTTACCACCATCCTATTGTGTCTTTGGAGGGACAATGTCTAATATTTGGCTTTTGGCCAAAACTTAATTTTGCTTACTCTGCACCAAGCAGTGCTCCTAAGCATATGTTAATTTATTTAACCTTCACAACAGCTCCCTGAAATAAATACTCATATTATGCCACTTTATAAATGAGGAAACTAAGACATGGAAATTAAAGTGATTTGCTCGAGTCACACAGCCAGAATGAATCCAGTTTGGCTCTGCCAGCATGTTCTCAAAAATGCTGTGCTTGTGTTACCGTGATGGCTTTGTTCCGAAGTGTCATCTCTTTTTATAACTAGTGTAAAAATTTGCCAAACTACTGAAAAGAGTCCTGTGTTCTGATATTCAGACAGACACCAGATAGAGTGATCTTCCTTCTTCTGTTAACTCTCCATCTCAGGTTTCAGATCCATTTCAGCTGTTTTTCTGTTTGAGTACAGGTCTCTGAAGCACTTCCCTGGTGTTAAATGCAAAGTAGCTGCCCCAGTGCTTCTTTCTTTCATGCTGTCTCTCTCCTCCTTCCTTCCAGAGTCAATGCATGTGTGGATGTAGTGCTCTCAGGGGTGAAGCTCTTGCAGGCACTTGGCCTGAGTCCTGGGAATGGGAAAGATCACACCGTTCTACATTCAAGGAATGATCTAGAAGAAGCCTTCAGTCACTTCATGGGGAAGGGAGCAGCTGCGGAGCGCTTCTTCAGCGATAAGGAAACTTTCCATGACATTGCCCAGATTGCATCGGAGTTCCCAGGAGCCCAGGTCTGTTTGGTTCACCAGAAGTAAATTAAGATAGGGTGGGAAAAGATGCCTTTTCATAGGGTTCCTAGAAGCAAAAAAGCAACATTTTCCTCCAGTTTTCCCCAAGATGGTGATTGTTGAGAATCCAGTTCTACAATGTTTTCCCTTATTTTAAAATGGTATATCTGATCTTCGATTAATTCTGCTGTTTCTAGTCAATTCAATTCGGCCAACCTTTATGATGCATTTTTTTTTTTATTAAGGTATCATTGATATACACTCTTACGAAGGTTTCACAAGAAAAACAATGCAGTTATTACATTCACCCTAATTATCAAATCCCCCCATACTCCATTAGAGTCACTGTCCATTAGCATAGCAAGATGCCACAGAGTCCCTATTTGTCTTCTCTGAGCTATACTGTCTTCCCTGTGACCCTACACACACCATGTGGACCAATCATGACACCCCACAATCCCCTTCTCCCTCCCTCCCTCCCCACCTGCCCTTCCCCACCGCTCCCCTTTGGTAACCACTAGTCCCTTCTGGGAGTCTGAGTCTGCTGCTATTTTGTCATGATGCATATTTACTAAAAATTTTGGTTCTGGTTCACCCATTAAATTGCTTTTTGTTTTATTACCCAGGTTAGGGTGTAGGAAAGATACCTACTCCTAACTTAATTGGATATTGCTTATGGCTGAAAACTTGCAGTAATCTTATGGCTGAGTCTTTCCTGAGGAAGAGAACAAGGGCAGACCTACAGAGAAGGTAGTCCAAGCTTTTGCATGGGAAAGGATGCTGGGTCCTCACCTCTGCTCTGCCGGTCCAGAGCAAGGCTTGTCAAACTCAGCACTATTGACATTTCAGGTCAGTTAATTCTTCGTTGTCGAGGTTCTCTTTAACAGCATCTCTGGCCTATGCCCACTAGGTAACAGTAGCACTCCCCTTCTTCCCCAGTTGTGACAGTTAGAAAGGTCTCCAGAGACGGTCGGTTGTTCCCGGGGTGGAGGAGAGGAGGGAAGCACATCACTGTTGTGAGAACCACTGGTCTAGATCGGTGGTTCTCAGACCTGAGACCTGAAACACAGAATCACTTGCGAGGGTTATTGAAACGTGGATTCCTGGGCCCTGCTCCTAGAGTTTCTGTTTTGGTAAATGTAGGATGAGACCCAAGAATTAGCCCTTCTGGCAGGTTCCCTGGTTACACTGATGCTGTTACTTTTTGAGAACCACTGGTGTTTACAAGGTGGAACCTGTCAGGAGGTGCAGAGAACTGAAGAGTCTCCCTGCCACCTGGGATCCTGAAGTCCAGGGGCTTGCATGGTCTAGACGCTTCCTTGAGGCTCACACAAAGAGGCAGTGCTGGAGCCAGAGACCCGGCCACGGCCCCTGCGCTCACCCCCAGCATGCCTACTGCTGCGGGAGCCCTCACACCTATTGAGGCCTGGTTTGGTTGTTCATTGCAGTGTCTTTCCACCCCACTTCCTACAGTTCTTCTTACCTAAGATCTTCCTTTAGCTACTCACCACAGTATGGGTGTGATTCTCTCTAGGGAAGCTCTTGATCCAATTTTTAATTGGTAGCATTTACAGGCCATTTTTTAATACCACTTTTATTTTGATAACTTTTAACATTTTAAAGTTTTTTTTCTTTTGGAGCTTCCCATTTGAAAATTGGAAGTGTGCACGGACATTACCCAGCTGCATTTCCAAAGTTGACAGTGAGCTGCTAAGATTTCAGTTACACTCATTTGACAGCTGAGCTCAGTAATGAGATTCTGATTTCTTAACAAAGAATCTCAATAATTCTAATATGAGGATGAGTCTACTGCTTAAAAGTCTTTATGACTGTGGTGTTTACACCTCCAATTTGATTCCTGTTCTGTTCTCTGCTTTGATCCTGCTGTTTGCTTCATAATGCAAAAGAGAAAAAGGAAAAAAACTTCTACACAAACTTAAGCTTTTTGATCATCAAAGTTATTTCTTAAAATTGTAAAACCTAAGTGTGTTACTTATTTTACAATAGGCTGACACTTCCATTTGGTGCCTTTTCAAACTCCCTTATAAACTTAGGGCAGATTGGCTGATAAACAGTAAGTATTATATAAAAACTCTGAAATCCACTTCTTAAAATCTTAATATTTCTGCAAGGAAATCAAACAAAACTCCTAGACCAGATGGCTTCACCGCTGAAATTTATCAAACATTTAGTGAAGACCTAATACCCATTCTCCTTAAAGTTTTCCAAAGAGTAGAAGAGGGAATACTTCCAAACTCATTGTATGAGGCCAGCATCACTCTAATACCGAAAACAGGCAAAGACACCACAAAAAAAGAAAATTACAGTATCCCTGATAAACATAGATGCAAAAATACTTAACAAAATATTTAACAAACTGAATTCAAAAATACATCAAAAAGATCATCCATCATGATCAAGTAGGATTCATCCCAGGGATGCAAGGATGGTACATTTGAAAATCCCTCAACATCATCCACCACATCAACAAAAAGAAGGACAAAAACCACATGATCATCTCCATAGATGCTGAAAAAGCATTTGACAAAATTCAACATCCATTCATGATAAAAACTCTCAACAAAATGGGTATAGAAGGCAAGTACCTCAACAAAATAAAGGCCATATATGACAAACCCACAGCCAACATCATACTTAAGAGCAAGAAGCTGAAAGCTTTTCCTTTCAGGTCAGGAACAAGACAAGGATACCCACTGTCCCCACTTATATTCAACATTGTACTGGAGGTCCTCGCCACGGCGATCAGACAACACCAGGACATAAAAGCCATCCAGATTGGCAAGGAAGAAGTCAAACTGTCCCTGTTTGCAGATGACATGATATTGTACATAAAAAACCCTAAAGAATCCACCCCTAAAATACTATATCTAATATCTGAATTCAGCAAAGTTGCAGGATACAAAATTAATACACAGAAATCTGTGGCATTCCTGTACACTAACAATGAACTAACAGAGACAGAAATCAGGAAAAAATTCCATTCATGATTGCATCAAAAAGAATGAAATACCTAGGAATAAACCTAACCAACGAAGTGAAAGACCTATACCTGAAAACTACAAGACACTCTTAAGAGAAATTGAAGAAGATACCAACAAATAAAAACACATCCTGTACTCATGGATAGGAAGAACTAATATTGTCAAAATGGCCATCCTGCCTAAAGCAATCTATAGATTCAATGCAATTCCTATCAAAATACCAAAAGCATTCTTCAATGAACTAGAGAAAATCATTCTAAAATTCATATGGAACCACAAAAGATCTCGAATAGCCAAAGCAATTCTGAGAAGGAAGAATAAAGCAGGGACAATTACACTCCCCAACTTCAAGCTCTACTACAAAGCCACAGTAATCAAGACAATTTGGTACTGGCACAAGAACAGACCCATAGATCAATGGAACAGACTAGAGAGCCCTGATATAAACCCAAGCATATATGGTCAATTAATATATGATAAAGGAGCTATGGATATACAATGGGGAAATGACAGCCTCTTCAACAGCTGATGTTGACAAAACTGAACAGCTACATGCAAGAGAATTAAACTGGATTATTGTTTAACTCCATACACAAAAGTAAACTCAAAATGGATTAAAGAC